AGCTTCACTGAGTGATGACAAAGCTAACTAAGTAGAGATTTTGAGTGATTAAGGTGTGGAAATGAAAAAATGAAGTTCAAGCTTAAGAGTTCAAATGGGATCTCAGCAGGGTGATTCTGGCTATTAAAACTTGTGGAAATAGGTGAAATTGAGTCCTTATTTTTAGGAGAGAAGTTTGGAATACTGAAGAAGGGTGAATGATGCAAAATGAAACGAATTCGTGCACACCTGTGTCATGAAAGAAGTGTGACTTGCAGCTTATTAAAACTCACTCAATACTTGCATTTTAATGCTCTAATCAACTCGAGCAAGTTTGTTAATCACATTTAAATGAAATTTGTGCCTTAATTTGATTATTAGAGGTCATATTAACCAAATTCAGTTCTGACTTCAAGTGAAAATTCAACCATGAAATTCAAATTTTGCAACCATGGTTCTCACAATGTAGGAGGCTTTATGAGTTCATTATTCTTGTAATGGATAGAGGGAGATGTAATCTTTGCAATGTAAAAAGAAAGTATTGATTTGGCAACTTGAGCTGAGAGATATGATCCTTCAAAGTAGCTTGCATCAAAAGGTTCAAAATCACAAAACACTTAAAAAAATTTCAAGTCTTTTTAGGGACCAAAAATGACCTATAATGTTTTGATGAAAAACAAAGCCTTCCATCAATTTTTTGTACTTCCATGTTGAATCAAAGTTGTAGAAGATATCTTCAAGTTCATTTTAGAAAAAGAATGGGCTCCAAGTGATGAAAATTGACCAAGTTATGACCTTTGGAAGTTGACTAGAAAATCTCTTCAAAACTCAAAATGACCTATAATGTCTTCACATTTTTGATGACCTTCCAAGCACAATTGGACATTTCCTTGCAAAGAGAACTTGTTGGGAATGATGAAAAGAGTTCATTAGAAAAAGAACCACCTCAATATGTTAAAAATTGAAGGAGTTATACCCATTTGATCATAGCATCCATAATTTGTTGAATTAGGTCAAACACCTTGGACCAACTTTGAATCTCTTGATTATTTCTTGCAAACTAAGATATGGTGAATCACATATGACCTTGAAATAATGTTGCCTTGAATCAAACTTTATGATGAGGGACCTTTGGGGCTTGAGAATGCCACAAAGTCAAGAAGAAACCTTGCTTGAGGTTGAAGAAACATGTTCCTCTTTCTTGAGAAACAAGCCATGATACCTTGATTCATTGTCTAGAACTATGCTATGCAAAAATGAGAATGAAAATGCAATGAAACATAATCCAAAATACAAGAGGAGAGATGGGCAAATTTTGGGGTGTTACACCTCCACGTGGATAACATGCAGGTGATCAGGATTAGCTCTCTTGGTGCGTGAAGATTAGCCTTGAAGTGTTTTTAGTTATTTACGTTGATTATAGGGTCTTGTTCTAATATGTAACATCGGGTCGAGACGTTTTGAGTCGAACCTTTGTGTTTTTTTGTTGTTGACATCATGAAGTTATGAGTTCATGTTTTAAAAACCTTTTTGAACTATAAATTATGCTGATGATTTTGAATCTTTCCGCTGTGTAGTAATTGATTGAAATTATGACGAATAAAACTCGTGTTACGGAGTAAGACGTTATTGTGATTTTATGACGAAATGTGGCACCCTTGCGGTGATATACTATGATATAATTATTTTTAATTATCGTGAATGCTTGTGGGGTAGAAGGGTGTTACATACGACATTTATAATAAACAATTATATTTTAAAAAGAATATTGAAGTATTAGTTTCTTTATTTGAAAGTATTGTTTAACAATTTTATTTTAAATATTGTAATGTCGGTTTTTTTCCATTGTTATTATGGTTTTAAAACAGATACATACGAATGAATTTTTTTCAATACAATATTTTTTTCGAGTTATTTAAAAATTAATTAATTTTTTTTAGGAATTAATTCATATATCATATTTTTTACCGAGTTATCTAAAAATTGATTAATTTAGTTTTTTATTGAGTTATTTGAAAATTGATTAATTTAGCTTTTTTATAAGGAATAAGTGTGCGGAATAGAATATAGAATGAAAGTTTAATAGTTTGAGTTTGTATTAATAGTGAATATATATTTTGTATGTGTATGTAACTTATTATAATATGTGTTTTGATGTAAAATTATGTATGAAATGGAGATACAAAGGAACTAAATCAACAAAGAACATATTATATAGGTTTGATATAGTAACTGATGAGAAATGTGCTTTTTGTGATCAAAAGAAATATTTGGATCATCTTCTATTTGATTGCAACACTACAGGTAGGATTTGGGAAGATGTTCTGGTGTGGGTTGGTTATAATAGACAAGCTAAACCTTGGCAAGAGGAACAGACTTGGTTTTTGCAGGAAGTTGAGAAGAAAGGTTGGAGAAGGAAAGTCCTCAAAATGGTCTTGGCAGAAACTATTTATGAAGTGTGGTGATATCGTAACAACATTTGTTTTTGTAACCATATTGATAGCAACTGGAAAAATGTTATTTTGGAAAATATTATAATTAGATGTGCTACTCATAGGTTGTTAAAGAATCATGTTAGTGGTAGCAATCTAAACTAGCAGGTCTTATTTTGCCTGGATTTTTTGGGATCGGTTGTACTTCATTGTTTTGGTTAATATAGTATTTTATTTTCAAAAAAATATTTGAAAGAGATGATTTATGAAATACCAAAATAGATTTTTTTTAATTAAATAAGATTTATAAATGATACGTTACATTTCTTTTTCAAATGAGTAAAAAAAGTTTTATAATATTGTGTTTTGAAGTGTATCACATCAAATTTATTTTTCAAATGAGCAAAAAAAGTTTTATAATGTTGTGTTTTTAAATTTTATCACATTAAAATTTTAATGACGTGGTAAATTAAAGAATGAATATTTTTAGGCTTAATATCTCTTTTGGTTCTTTGACTTTATTCAATATTTCGCTTTGATCCCTTAACTAAAAAGTGTTACATAGTAGTCCATTAACTAACATTTTGTTACATGTTTTGGTCATTTCCGTTAGTTTTTCTATAAAAAAACGGTAAATATAGTCTTGCTGGACAATTTAAAGCTAATCTTGAATTCTTTTATTTAATATTTATAATTTTATTTAATAATACTATAATAACTTTATTTTAAAAAAATCTAAATCAAAACTCAAATTATCACCAACCCACGCTTCAAACATTAACCCTTTCTCAAAACCCCATTTTTTAGGCCATGTCAATTTATCTCCTCCCCTTTTACTACCACCGTCAAAATCATAACACAAATTCACTATTCTTCAAGGTGTAGACCAATTCCTTTTTTGATTTCAATTTGAACAGGTTTCATTGTGAGGTTTTTTGTTCCAAAATCAATCGAAGTTATTGCTCAAGTATAGCAGTTGCTTTCAATTTTTCTTTCAACCATAGTTGGACTTGTTTTAAAGTGATTTGGTTGATTGTGATATCTTGCCCTTTAATTTCATGATCTTTACTTTCAATCATTTTCACGGATCCAAAGAGAGCACAACAAAACAAAAGTTAAGGTTTATGTTTTTTTGCAGATTTAGTGTTCTTTAGTTCGTTACTGATGAATGTTTTAACAAGTGTTTTGGTTTTTTCGATAAAATTTTAGCAAAGAAATTGAGTGCACGAAGAATCGGATTTTAATCCGTTTAAAAGTTGCATTGAAGTTTTTTTTAAGTTGAAAAGGTTAAAACTTTATTATGTTCTTTAGTGATATAATAATATGGATTAATATAATAATTTTATGTTTGTGTTGAAGTTTGTTTTTAAGTTTAATTGTTAGATGGTGTATGATAAAAAAAATTGGCTTTGTTTTAAAATTGTTCGGGTTTTGATATAAAGATAAAGAAAGAGAAGATGGAGGTGGAGAATTGTCTACCTGTCATGCTAATTCAGCCTTAATTAATATTTTTTTTTATCAAAACTAACGGAAAGGACAAAATGGTTTAACGAAAGAGAAGTTAAAAGACCATTACGTAACTTTTTTAATTAGGGGACCAAAGCGAAACTTCCTTTAAATTTAAGAGATCTAGGGACTAATTATACCATATTTTTATTATTCAATTTTAATATATTATAATAGAATATTTAAATTCCACTCAAACATGAAATGGAAGAAAATGGTGGTAGTAATAAAAGTTCATTTGTAGTTCAAACTTTGGGTTTTTTAACAATCATAGCGACAAAGTCCATCTGTCACACGAAAATCAACCAGGTGCATTGCACAAGTCACTTCATATTTTACATATATTCGATTTTTTTTACACCAATACCCTATTCTGAAACACATAATACCAAACTACCCTTTTTTTAAAAAAATTAACGAACGTGCCCTAGGTTCAAAACTTGCTCGTCCACTGAAGTGGCGAGCAGATGAAGGCTTTTCTGGCAACGTTGGTGCTCGCCCACTCAAATGGTGAGCACGTGAAGAAGCCGTTTTTTGTTTTGTTTTTATTTATTTATATTATTTATTTAATCACATATTTAATAATTTTAATATAAAAATCATATTATAAAATATATTATACTAATTTAATAATAAAAATTTAATTAATAATATATTTCAAATGATGCCCATTATAGATTTGAAAACCCTACCTGCAATTTCAAATGATGGTTCCCAACTCTCTGGAAAACGAATCTTCCATTGTTTGTTTTGGGCATTTCGTCCGTGTATACGTGGCTTCGCCTACTGTAAGTCCATTGTGCAAGTAGACAGAACTTGGTTGTATGGCAAGTACAGAGGAACTCTATTGATGGCAGTGGCACAGGATGGTAACACAAACATTTTCCCAATAGCATTCGCATTAGTCAAAGGTGAAACAAAGGAAGCATATACCTGAGGTTACACGTGACACCACAACCTAATTTGTGCCTAATCTCTGATAGACATGAATCGATAAAGAGTGCATATAACAATCCTGAAAACGGATGGCAACATCCACCATCTTCACATGTCTACTGCATTAGACACATTGTTCAAAACTTCATGCGCGAGATTAAGGACAAAGATCTATGCAAAAAACTTGTTAACATGGGTAACAAAATACATTTCAGTTATCTCAACTATTGTATCACACTTTTACTATGTTGTTCACACAATTTCTATTACAGGGTACGCATTAACGGAGGCTACATTTAACTACTATCACAGAGAAATAAGAAGAACAAACTTTGAGGCTTCAAATTGGATAGACAACACACATAGGGAGAAGTGGGCTAGAGCATTTGACAGAGGGAAACGTTGGGGACATATGACATCTAACTTGGCAGAGGCCATAAACTCTGTACTAAAGGCAACCATAAACCTTCCAATCACTACTTTGGTCCAGTCTACATACTATCGAATGGGTTCACTCTTTGGTAAACAAGGATACAAATAGACCAAAGATGGTTGCAACAAGGGAATGACTGATGAGGTAGCCAAGGCTAACACACACAATGTTATGCAATTTGATCGCAAAAGCTTTTGTTTCATGGTGCAAGAAAAAATTAATCAAAACGATGGTCGTCCAACGGGTACTTTCAGCATTGATCTGAGGAATCGTTGGTTTGACTGTGGAAAATTTCAAGCATCTCACTTGCCTTGCTCCCACGTGATCGCAGCATATTCTAGCATACGACAAGACTACACAATTCACATTCCAGAGGTCTTCACAGTACTTAACATATTCAAAGTCTACAAAGAAAGCTTCTTGGGACTACCGCACGAGGAGAACTGGCCAAAATATGAAGGTTTTACTCTATGCCACGACGATTCCATGAGAAGAAATAAAAAGGGACGTCCAACCAGTAGTAGAATTAGAACTGAGATGGACGACGCTGAAAAAGAAAAGAGAAGATGCGGGATTTGCAGAGAAATATGTCATATGCGTAGAAAATGTCCTAATGTTGCTGGTCCGTCAAACCGATCGCATAGATAATTTTATATATTTTGCTCGCACTTGTTTTCTATGTGATCCAATATTTATTTGTAATTCAAGACAACTTTTAAATTACAGCAATACTAGCAAATTACAACCATAAAGTTAAAAATAAAACTCAGGGAGCTAACATACACGCTAACCAACAACAGCAACCAACACAAGTGGATATGCGACTCCTCTGTTAACTTCGCCATTATGTTCTGAAAACATGCATTGGACATCTTCATCATTTTCTATACGATCCAAGTAATACATGTACGTACCCTCCGGGTTAGCATCAGTCAGGGTTATATACGGACAACGATACTCCATTTTTCTCACCGTCATGCGACGACCGCCCAACTGCCGAAACCCCGTGTTAATTGCTGCAACCACGGTTCTGAAATTCCACTGCGGATCTAGATAAACACTGATTTTTTTTCTTGTCCATAAAAAACAAGAGCTCAGACATACATTTTTAAAACACAGCTCACTAGACACGAATGATTTGTGCTGATGCGCGATACGTCTATTTATAAAAAAAATTACGTTTGAACTCGGTCATTCAATGACCGAGACTCTGTAAAAACTTTACAACTCCTTGTACGAACATCAATCATTCTTTTTTAATACATGAAGAAAGAAAAATTAAATTATTATATCATTCACATTTTTTTTCCATTTAATATAATATTATATAATAAAATTAATATAATAATATGATATATAATATTGTTATAATGATTATTTATAATTAAATTAAATATCATAATTAAACATAATATATAATAAATATTTAACATTAATATCATAATTAAATTAATATAATATATTTTTAATATTTAAAAACATTATTTCAATTAATTAAACATAATGTATATAAATAAATAAATAAAAAACAGCTTCTTCATGTGCTCGTCATCTGAGTGGGCGAGCACCAACGTTGTCAGAAAAGCTTCCATCTGCTAGCCACTTCAGTAGACAAGGTTCTAAATCTAGAACACGTTGGTTAATTTGTTTCAAAAGATGGTAGTTTGGTAAAGTTTAAAAAAATCAATATATTCACCCTTTCAAAAATACATTTCCATCCCAACACAAGCATAGTGCAATCAATCTATCATTACATTTAAATTCAACAAGGTAGAACAAGTTGTTAGGAAAAAATCTATGCAAGAAATTGAGTAAATCCACTTCCCTTGGTTTGCATGAGACAGCATCGTGTCGCCTTTGTTTCATTTCCAACAAAAACATGGACGTTCGCGACATGGCATACCGTTACTTAACCCAACTAAACCACACTTCCGCCACTCAAACCATCGCACGTGCTGTCCATGCACACATCCTCACCTCCGGTTTCAAACCAAACACTTTCATCCTCAACCGTCTCATCAACTTCTACTGCAAATCCTCCAACATCACTTATGCTCGCAAACTGTTTGATAAAATTCCTAAACCAGATATAGTCGCACGAACCACCCTTCTCTCCGCATATTCATCCTCCGGTGATGTCAAACTCGCTCGACAACTCTTCAACGCCATTCCACTCACTATTCGTGATACTGTCAGTTACAATGCCATGATCACTGCCTACTCTCACGGTAATGATGGCCACGCTGCACTCAATCTCTTTGTTCAAATGAGAAGACAGGGCTTTTTACCTGATCCTTTTACGTTCTCCAGTGTGCTTTCTGCCCTCTCCATCATAGCAGACGAGGAGTGGCATTGTCAAATGCTACATTGTGAGGCTATCAAATGGGGGACATTGTCGATACCTTCTGTTTTGAATGCGCTTTTGAGTTGCTATGTTTGTTGCGCTTCTTCTCCCTTGGTCAAATCATCTCAGTTGATGGCTTCTGCTAAGAAGGTTTTTGATGAGGCTCCTAAGAATCAGGTGTATGAACCTTCATGGACTACCATGATTGCTGGTTATGTGAGGAATGATGATCTCGCTGCAGCGCGTGAGCTTCTTGATGGAATGACTTACCCTATTGATGTTGCTTGGAATGCCATGATTTCTGGTTATGTTCGACGTGGTTTATACGAAGAGGCATTTGACACGTTCAGGAGAATGCATTCAATGGGAATGCAGGAGGATGAGTATACTTACACCAGTTTGATTAGTGCTTGTGCATCTTGTAATGTGAGGAGGGGGATGTTTAATTATGGAAGACAGGTGCATGGTTATATTCTCAGGACAGTGGTGGAACCATCACAGCATTTTGTTTTGTCTGTTAGCAATGCTTTGATTACTTTCTACACTAAGTACGGTAGAATGGTGGAGGCGAGGCGAGTCTTTGATAGAATGCCAGCGAGAGATATTGTTTCCTGGAATGCTGTTTTGTCAGGGTATGTCAATGCACGACGCATTGAGGAAGCTAATTCTATTTTCAGGGAGATGCCAGAGAGGAACGTGCTGACTTGGACAGTGATGATATCTGGTTTGGCGCAAAATGGTTTTGGAGAAGAAGGTTTGAAGCTGTTCAACCAGATGAAGTCAGAGGGACTAGAACCCTGTGATTATGCTTACGCTGGGGCGATTACATCTTGTGCTGTTCTTGGGTCGTTGGACAATGGGCAACAAATTCATTCTCAGGTAATTCGATTGGGTCATGATTCAGGCCTCTCCGCCGGCAATGCACTGATTACCATGTATGCGAGGTGTGGTGTTGTTGAATCTGCTGAATCTGTGTTTCTCACAATGCCTTATGTGGATTCAGTATCTTGGAACGCCATGATTGCAGCTCTTGCACAACATGGACATGGTGTCCAAGCCATTGAGCTTTTTGAACAGATGTTGAAGGAGGATATTTTGCCTGATAGAATAACTTTCCTCACAATTCTTACTGCTTGCAACCATGCAGGCTTGGTCAAAGAGGCACACCATTATTTTGATACAATGTGCACTCGTTACAGTATAACCCCAGGAGAGGATCATTATGCCCGTTTGATAGATTTGTTATGTCGTGCGGGTATGTTCTCAGAAGCAAAGAGTGTAATCAAAGCAATGCCTTTCGAGCCCGGTGCGCCAATTTGGGAAGCTTTTCTTGCTGGTTGCCGGATCCACGGGAACATGGAATTGGGCATTCAAGCTGCTGACCAACTCCTTGAGCTTATTCCACAGCAAGATGGAACCTACATAATCCTTTCCAATATGTATGCTGCTTTAGGTCAGTGGGACGAAGTGGCCAGGGTGAGGTTACTGATGAGGGAACGGGGAGTGAAAAAGGAACCTGGTTGTAGTTGGGTTGAGGTCGAAAACATGGTCCATGTCTTTTTGGCTGATGATGCTAGGCACCCTGAGGTACAAGCGGTGTACACATATCTGGAGCAACTGGTACATGAAATGAGGAAATTGGGGTATATTCCTGATACAAAGTTTGTACTGCATGATATGGAATCTGAGCACAAAGAACATGCCTTGTCTACCCACAGTGAAAAGCTGGCTGTTGTATACGGAATTATGAAGCTTCCTTTAGGAGCTACAATTCGTGTTTTCAAAAATTTGAGAATATGTGGAGACTGTCACAATGCATTCAAATTTATTTCCAAAGTAGTGGCAAGAGAGATAGTTGTGAGAGATAGGAAGAGGTTTCATCATTTTAAAAATGGAGAATGTTCTTGCGGCAACTACTGGTAGGAAGAGGTTCTGCTATTTGATTGTCATCAAAGGTTAACGATTGTCAAAATTGATCAAGTGGATTTAGAATATATATGAATGGAGCCTGGAGCTTTCACAATCTGAAATTCAAAATCGAGACTGATATTGACCCTAAAATGTTCTCCAAAAGATGGTCATATGAATACTTATTTTACCCCCCTCTCTTTCTCTCTGTGATTCTAATTGTTTTTGCTTTTGCTAAACTGAATGACTCATCTTTTCAGTAACTACTGTTTACAGAACATGCCAAAGCCACATTGGAAATGATGTCCATAATCCTCAGTTTGTTTTGGCGGTCTACTGGTTGGAAATTTGTCTTCTACTGCACCCCCTTGCACACAAATGCTAGAGTTGATTTTTGCTATTTCATGTCATAAGGAATGGAGGTGGTAAGAGAAATCAGTTTATCGTTCATGCAGTGGCTTTATAGCAAGTGTCATGTCATATGTGTTATCATTTTTACTTCTGTTTCCCTTTATTTATTGAAACAATCGATGTTAATATTGTTATTAATTGTTAGCATTTTATACTGGGATTGGAGATTGAGCTCTCAACCTCCATGTCACTCAAATTCTTAACTCGCTCATTACAACCACCAAACCAACATTGTATCCCTTAGTTTTCCTTTATTTTTTCTGTTTCAGCTGTTTGGTTCATGTGTTTGTACTTTGTACGTATCAGGTACAATGATTAAACACAGCAGCACCTTCTGGTTGGCAGGTGTAGTGTTGCATGCCATCTCAGTGACCATGACTTTGGCAGGGTGGAAGGAGCTATGAGGCGGTGCTAATGTCGTAGCTTCTTTGATTTGAAAAAGGGACAGATTACAGAATTTTTTGCCCTGTGATCAACTCTGTTCAGTGCTCATCAATGTTAAGGTAAGACCCAAGAATAGTCTAAAGCACAACACTCTGTATCCGTAAATGTCTGAGAAGCTTTAGCTATGCTCTACATAAGCATGACTCTGGCCCTGATTGAATTAACTTATTTGTATTTATTTGCTGACACAAGTGTTTGTGACACTATTTGAGAGAGTTTACAAAATCACCTTAAGATTCCTCCATAAGTTGTTTTCAACTTATTTCCATAAACTCTTCAAAATAGCTTATGAAAACAACTTATACCTTCTATTAAGACAGTTTGACTTTATTTTATCTTTTGCTATAAAAATAATTTGTGCATAAAAGATGATGTGATAAACACTTGTATATATAAGTTCTTAACAAAGTTGTTTATTCAAACAAAGCTTTTCTGTAAAAGGGAAAGTGAGATCAATAATTCCACATTATTTCCTGAAGATTATGTGAATTGAAACTTAAGTTCACAAAAAATCTAAAGGGGAATTTGTTGCTGCCTGCTGATTTTACAAAGAAGCTTACTTTAGAGGAGCTTTTTCAATCCAACATATGGACTCTAGTATGAAGTGGATTCTAACTTAACTAACTGACAGTGCGCGACAAACAAGAAAAGAAGCATTCTTATGGAGTACTTTTATTGTTAATCTTCCCAAAGTTAAAGGCCAGTCAATCAAAATTAGCAGTGAGAATCATCCTGATTGCACACATATACTTCTTTTCGGAAGTGCTAGACAATGGTGCTAAAGTAACGGTCTTTACTGTGTCTCTTCTGCGTTCTGCTGTTTTTTGGGCTGTCTCAAGAATCTGGTATAAATTTATTAAATTTTCATATTTATACCATCATACATTTCTGGGTTGCTTTAATACTGCCGAGGAGACACACTTAAGAGTCTATTTCTTCGTTTCAAGTGTTATATATATATATATATATATATATATATATATATATATATATATATATATATATATATATATATATAACCCTTGAAAACAAGGAATGGACTCTTAAGTGTGTCTCCTCGGCAGTGTTAAAGCAACCCAGAAATATGAATTATGTAATAAACAATTTTGTGCTTTCCTTTGTCTCATGTTAAATGATTTCCTCTTCAACAACTTCCTTTTCCATGGTCTATAATCAAAAAGGAAGAAAAATAAATAATCCAAATAATCTTTAATTGGGGTATCAGCAATTGGCTTAAAGCATTATTTTTTTCAAATCGACAGCAATGAAATAAATTTACTGATGAATTTGATATAGTGCTACATTTGTGTCAATATATATTTAGGCCACAGAAGCGAGCATCGTACTCACTTGATAATGATAGTAACAAATAAAGCATCTTTTTGCTCAAACCAAGACTTATTGAAAATGCCTCTTCGCTTTTTTGAATCACTGAGCACTTCGGACTGGAAAAGATCAGATGCTGACACTAATTTTCTTGTTAAAAATTGGACCACTCCAATGAACTTTCAGTTCTTGAGAGTAGATAGTTCAATATTTTGCTATTTAAAATTACAAAAGTTACAAAAGTTGAGTAGTTTAGAATGTTCGCAGGTGGTGTGGTTTGATTTTGAGAAAATTTGATCTCTAAGTTGATAAAAATAATATGTGGGATTGGTTTGATTTTGAGAAAATTTGATCTCTAAGTTGATAAAAAAAATATGTGGGATTGGTTTGATTTTGAGAAAATTTGATCTCTAAGTTGAAAAAAAAAATGTGGGATTGGTTTGGATTACATTTGTAATTTTTTTTTTGATAAAATCTAAACCTAATCAATCTGAAAAACAATGCCTTGGGTTGGATTAAATTGATTAAATACATTAAAAACAAACGAGCAACAATATTTTTTTTAAATATCTGATTTACATCGATTAATTTGAAATTTTTACAAGAATAATCTACTTTTTCAAAAAAAATTTCAAAATATTCTACTTTTTAAATTATTTCCCAAAGGGGTTTTAAGATACTGATTGTATGCCTGCGCCAATTGGATTGACGACCCTTCACAAAGATTTAGTATTGTTGTCAATTGGATTAGAGATAACACACGGTGTTGTCATTCAAATTAGCGACACAGTGTAGTATTTACAAGGATGTCGTGGGTCGTATAGATACCCCTCTTGTAAATGTTACATTGTGTCGTCAATTGGATTAGCAACACCATGTGTTATCCCCCATTCAATTGGCGACAACACTAAACATTTGTGCTGTGAAGGGTCGTCAATCTAATTGGCGCTTGCATACAATCAGTATCTCAAAGTATGGTACTTTGAAAAATAATTTAAAAAGTGGAGTATTTTGAGATTTTTTTTTGAAAAAGTGAGTTATTCTGATAAAAATTTCGACTAATTTCTTATAATAATATAAAATTCTTAATTTTTTATTTTTTTATATAATTGTGAATGTCATAAATGGCGTTTTATTTATTTTTTTTTATTTTTAAAATTGAATCTTATATGAAAAATGTAAATATAATTTATATAAATTAAAATAGTTAGTTCGGATATACGGATAGAATTTTAAAAATCTATTATCCAAATTAATTAACATCGAATTTCATTGATTTAATTTATTTTTTGCCGAACTAAAAACAATCCAACCCAAAGACCTTAGTTTGGTTTGGTTTTGCCCAAATCAACAAATACCCCTAATTAAAATGAAAAAAAAATTGCAATTTAGTCCTTAATTTCAAAATATATATGTCTTGATGATTAGTATTTTTGTTAATCTTAAAAAAAAGCCCTACATTTATAGAAATCTTTTTTTTAGCAAATACTAAAAGATATTTTTTAATTTTAATTTAGAGGTCAGTTAGTTGCAAGAAAATTAAACTATGGCCTTCCCTATCAAATTTAATTTCAATCACTATTAAATTAACTATTGATATATTAAAAGCTATTAACTATCGATATATTAAAAACTTCTAAGTATTGAGAGTTGAGACTTGCGACATTAATGGTAGAATGAATAAAAGTTGGTTAGCATTAAAAAAATTGTTAATCCATCAAAATCAATAAGGAATTGGAAAGTGTGTATATATGGGCATTGTTTCACTCTCCTTCTCGATTTGGTGCGAGGCAAAAAACAGAAAACAGGCCAAAACATTTTCCAAGAGAACGTGAGAGGAAAGCAAAGCCTCGAGAAGTCACATGCTAGTAATGCAAAACGATTCCTTTTTGAGGTTAATGTCATAAAGTAGACCCCAAAATATTGCGCCTACTTTTCCTTTTCCCCTCAATATTTTGAGTTTTGACTTCTGAAGTTATGTATTTCTCATTGTCCATACTAAACACAAACCAAACCAATTGAGTGCATGCCTTGATTTTCCATAAGTTTAACAAAATTACAACCTACAGCTATGAAGCACAAACACAAACACGCCAAATAAAAATTTGAAGAAACAAACTAATCAAATGTAATTACCCGTGTCAATATCATACCGGACCCTAACTCGTGCAAGACATTAAACATACTTTGTCATCGTAAACTCGCCAAAGTCATTGAAGTTTCAAACTCGCGCTGAGTTGGAGGGGGCGAAAGGAAAAGGGAAAGAGTGAAAGAAGTGCAACTTGCCACTTTTAAAAAAGTTAAAGTTATCAAATAAAATGGAGTCAATAGAATACGGAAATGAAGAAAAAGAGAATCATTCACATGGCTAAAGGGTAAGACACAAAATTTTCATCCAAAACATTCATTCTTCTGGGTATATCCTTTTTCCCTTGTAATAATACCAAAAAAAATCTCACTTTCATGAGCTAATTACACCGTTTTTTTCACAACAAAATCTTCTTACACCTAACTACAAGAATTAGTCTTGTCCCCACATTCAACAGTCCTAGATGCTTTCTCTATCTCTCAAGTCTATTTACCACAAATCTCTTTCATCCAAAAGATATATATCCATCACCTCAACAACAATTTTGCCTCCCCATCTTCTACAGTCAATAATCTGCACAAACAAAATAACATTGCAAAATGTAGCATTAGCATGACTCTAATCAAAGTACTATATAAACTATGTACAAAACAACACCTACCATCACGTTTCTTGACCAAATTCCTAGCAAATAGCAAGCATATAACCAAAAATGCCACACCAGCTATACCTCCTAATATTATAGCCACTGTCTTCCCTGTATTTTGTCCTGTCATTGCATCATTTAGCCACAAATCACTCAATAATTCATGTTTTATAGTACTTAACAAAGTAGCACCAATGCTTTAAAGTCTCAACACATGAACAATTATGGAATTCTGTATTGCATGTATATTCCAGATAGAAGGCCTAACCGGTGTCCAGACATCTACACGACACGGACACATGTGATTTGAATCAATTATTCAACTTTTGCAAATTGATAAGGTATCACATTTTATTGTCTGGTCTATTATTCTTCATAGATATCAAATGAAGAAACACAAAAACAGATTCAACATAACAAAGAAAAATGAAAACTTTCTATTGACCCAGAATTCAAATCAACCTTATCTACTAATTCTGAGTGGTTGTATATTAGTTCTTACCAGTAAAAGATGAAGAAGCAGAAGAAGAGGATGAACCACCATAAGAAGAGTGTTGCCTTGGAACCCCATTAGGATAATAGCTAAAACTGATAAAGCACTTATGCAAATAAACCTGTCCAGAAATAGAACTTCCACATTCAACTTGAGCTCTTTGAACAGCAGATTTAACACACTCACCACAATCAGAATCGCCAACATCACCTTCACACTGTCCCATAACATACATAGATTGGTAGCTAGTAGCATAAAAACCATGACCACTGATAACCCCATTTTCCATCACAGAAAAAGCAGTGTCTCTTCTCTCTTCAAACCCTCTTCCAGCAGCATTCGTTGTTCCGCATGTTTTGAAAAGAATATCCATGCCTGAGATTTGAGGAAAACCAGCAACCTCGTACAGCATGTAACAACCTAGAAGCTGAACTCTAGCAGCAATGGTTTTGCCGCAAAGTTTGTCTGAAAGAACCGGGAGCTTGCTAACACAGTTGTAGCAATCGGAGTTTGTGAGATCTCCTCTACATTGAAAGATACCTGTTATGCTGTTCTGGCCATTCCCGGTTGTTGTTTTGAAGAACTTAGTTTTTGTGGACTGTGAAACGAGGGAACCAAAGAGTGCTGAGAGAGATTGTGAGTATGCACCATTTGGATCTGTGAAAGTGTTTTTTGAGCAACCTTTGTAGACTAAAGTTGTGTAATCAGAAGAGGATGATGAATCAGAGAAATGGGGTGTGAAGAGGAGGAAGAAGAAGAAGAGAAGAAGGAAGAGGGACAATTTTGGAAAACCCATTTTTTTGGTTTTGAGAATGGAGAGAGAACTAATTCATGGTTGGAAAAAAAAAAGTTTTAGAAGTTGCTATGAGATTCAGAGAGGGGGGACAGGTTAAGGAAATGGGTTCATAGTTGGATTTTTGTTTGTGAGTAGAGAGAAAGATTTGGGAGTGCCTTGGGATTCATTTACTTTGGAGGTTAATGCCTCTATAGTAGAGTATAGACATGCAACATTATTAATGCTCTCTTTCTCATTTATTATAAAACTTACTACCACTTCCTGTCATACTCTTTAATATATATTTATCTAAATTTTATAATATTTATGTGTAGGTTTTATTAATAAAATTTTTAAAAAATTATATATTTTTATATTTCACTAGAATTATAAATAAAATATGTTTATTGAAAGAATAGTTATTTATATTTAACAATTTTAAAACTATAGTAAAAGAAAATTTTATGACAATGCTTAAATTAATATAGTCATACAATGTTATAAATTTACTAAAACTTTCTAATAGACATTTCTAAAATATAATTTTTAATTGTATCTACGATTATATGTTATATAATTAAGTTTAAATTATATTATATTAAATTCAGATTAGTTGCAATTTCTTGTCTTTGCGCTATTCTAAAACAATGTCTACAATTTAGTTATTCGCATCACACATAATTTTGAAAGAAAGACTCCAACCTAGAGGATGTATTACTGGGGCAGAGATCAATGCATGTTTTAACAATTGGAAGGACTCATGGCATTGGTCATCGAAGATGAACTCGATGTCCTTCATCAGGAGATCGATTAAGGGTTTGGAAATTTTTTAGAAGTCTTTAATAAATTGTCGATAAAAACCAGTGTTCTAGAAAGATTCAGACTTCTCTTATAGTGGTGGTGGCTGTAACTTCTCAGTTACTTCTATTTTTCCTTATCAATCTCAATTTCTCTTGCGAACATTAGATGTCTGAGGACTATGCCTTTCTTCACTATGAAGTGCCATTTTTTCCAATTTAGTAAGAGGTTGGCCTTGACACACCTCTCGAGCACTCTTTCTAAGTTAGCTAGACATTCCTAAAAAATTGACCCACATACGAAAAAATCATCCATTACGACCTCCATGATATCCTCTAGGAAGTCTGCAAATATCGCCGTCATCCATCTCTAGAATGTGGCAAGAGCATTGCACAACCCAAATGCATTCGCCGATAGGACAATTTACCATAGGGGCACATGAATGTGATCTTTTATGGGTCACTCAGGTGGATTGGGATTTGAAAGAGTCTCGAGTAATCGTCCAAGTAGCAGAAGTGTGAGTGCTTAATTAAGTGCTCAAACATCTGATCTATAAACAGAAGGGGGAAGTGATTCTTCCTAGTAGTTTTATTTAACTTTCTATAGTCAATGCACATTCTCTATCCCGTCACTGTACGTGTGGGAACAAAGTTTCCTCCGTCATTCTTTACCATTGTCATTCCATATTTCTTCGATACCACGTGTACCAGACTAACTCATTTACTAACTAAAATAGGATATATGATCCCAACAGAAGCTTTAGTACTTCTTTCTTTATTACTTCACTCATATCGGGGTTTTGTCTTCTCTGGTGTTCCCTTGAGGGTTTGGAATCCTCTCAAGTAAAATCTTATGCATACACATAAAGTAACTGATTCTCTTAAGATCATAAATAGTGTATCATATCACTTCCGGGATATCTTTTCAACATAACAAGTAATTTTTCAGTTTCGTATCTTCCTAGATTGACATTCATTATGATTAGGCGGTTAAGTTCACTATCTAGAAACTCATACCTAAGGTTTTGGGGTAGTAGTTTGAGCTCTATCTTTGGTTGCTCTGGTTATGGCATTTAACTAGGAATAAGGGCGAGGCACTCATTTAGATCAGTTGGACTTACATCCAATATGCCTTGATAAATCTCATCACTATCATCCTTTATTTCCTCTGCCTGAGGTGCATCTAACTTTTCATTTGGGGTGGCTCTAACGATAACTCCTTGATACATTCATCTATCATGTCAACAAAATAGCACGGGTCTTTAATGTAATGAGTTTTCATAAATTGGGACATGATGAAATCTTTTCATCTCCAACTTCGAAGGCTAGCTTCCCTTTCTTTACACAAGGTGAAATTAGAATAGATTCTGGACTAGTGCTATTGTCGCTCCTACCTTACTGCAATTGCTGCAATGCTGCCACAGTGTTATGTTGTCTCCCATGTGCAGTGTACTATCATAGTACAACACAAATGAATGTGACTTATTTTTTGGTCTTAAGTTAATGGATCATTCTAAAGGCACAAGAACCAAATAGAGAGACATTATGTAGCTAGAAAACATCTATAAATAAAGCTGCAATGCAATGAAGAAATATGTTCTGAATTTTGGAAAGAATGCTGCAGAAGAGAAATTTAGGAAAACAAAGAGTTCTGATGCGAATCTGGCTAAAGAAAACAACGTTGGGAGGCGTGACAGAAGACCTTGCTTGCTGATTAGCAAATTACAAGTGATTGAAGTGTTATCTTTAGGTTTATCATTTCTGTCTTCTTGCTTAGGAATGTGTAACTTAAGATCTTTTTGTGTTCTTCTTATTTTACTCGTTATAAGGTAAACTTGCTTTGTTGGATAATATGAAGTTTAATGAATTAGTAATCTCTTGAATATAATGAATAAATTGTCTTGATATATTTTATTTATTTGAATTCATGTCATATGTTTATTCCCTTGTCTAGCCACCTTAAGAAAAGATAAAAGCTTGTTGTTGTGAGACATTCAGTAATAAGTAGAACTTATGATAAATGTGATTGAGGATAAATATTCGCTAGATTAGCTACTTTAGACATAAAAGTTACAAGTGAGGCTTATAGATTTGTCCTTTTACTTTACTGGATATGGTACTGATGTTGTGGAGATACACCATAAGATCACGTTCCAATCTCATTTGTCATTACAAATCATATCAGACTCATACATTAGATAAATTCATTAAATGGAATATTGTCCAACATATTCTTTCTCTTAATGTTAACCATTAATTATCTTATTTGTTTGTCACTTTAACCACATGACACATAGCATTATTTTATAACCTTTGCTCATATCTAGTTTACAAATGCTTATATGAAAATCATTATATTTAATATAATCTTTGTGGGATCGATACTTTTTATTGTGAAACGATGCTCAAGAAACAAAGTATAATTGGTTTCTTGATTAAAAAAAACACCACAAAGTAAAAGAAAAGAGAGAAGAGAATGGACAATCAAAGTGGTTAAGAACTGGATTCTTGATTCAAAAAGTGGTGACTAGGATTATCAGGGATTGATGAAAAAGTGGTGACTAGTATGTTATTTATAAGAAAACTAAACCCTAGATTTCAAGTAACATACTAAACAATTGGCCCAACAGGTTGGCCTAATTCAACATGCTAACTTAAACAATAAGCTAATTAAGACATATGCATGCAAGAGCATACTTCGACTATGACATGCACATCTTCGACTTCGACATAGTTTAATATAACACTAGCTTATAACCCATAAGATACAACTCTCCACCTTGGAATAAACTCTAAACCTCGAAACTAACTAGCTGTCATCATGCAGTCCTATCAGCTGCATGCAGTTGAAAAACTTGCAACTTGGTAATGTCTTGATGACTATATAAGCAGCATTGTCATTAGATAAAACCTTTAGCACTTGGACTTCTCCATGCTCGATTATCTCTCTGAAAAAATGTATCCTCATATTGACGTGCATGGTTCACTCATGATAGGTTGAATTCTTCGATTGATGTATGGAATTTTGACTATCACATTTAACAATGATAACACGGCCTTAATGTTTCAACTTTTTAGCAAAACCTTCAAACCACAATGCTTCTTTCATAGCTTTAATTAGGGGAAATATACTCCGCTTCAGTGGTTGATAAGTCAAAGAACTTCTTAAGTGTTGCTTTCCAACTAATTGTTGTGCCAAACATAGTGAACACATATCCAGAAATATATTTTTTGGAATCCATACAACCTGCACAATCAGAGTAAAAAAATCCTTTGATTTCGACTTTGCTATCATCACCACAAGTTCCACCATAAATCAAGGTTATACTCAGAGACCCATTTATGTACCTTAAAATGCAATTCAATGCTTTCTAGTGTGCCTTCCCAAGATTGGTCATATACATGCTTACAAGGCTCACTCTGTGCGTTATGTCTGACCTCATACGTACCATATCTCACATCAAAGAAACTATTATACTAGCATATGAAATTCTATTCAAATAGGCTATTTCAACTTCAGTACAAAGACTTAGAGTCGAACTTATCTTAAACTGAGGATTATTTGATGTTACAACAGACTTTGAGTTTAACATACCAAACTTGTCGAGGATCTTCTTCAGGTATGTCTCTTGAGATAATTATAATCTCGACTGCCTTAAATCTCTCTAAATATTAATCCCAAGAATTTTAGAGGGAGCTCCTAGATCCTTCATGTCAAACTCATCATCAAGTTTAGCCTTCACTTTCACTACATCTTCGACACGGTTGCTTGTTATGAGGATTTCATCCACATAAAGTAACAAAATAACAAGTAAATTTCCAAGTTGAAATCTGAAGTAAACACAATGGTCGAACTGGCTCCTAGTGAAACTTATGTGTGCCATGAATTTGTCAAATCTCCTATTCTATTGTCGAGGATATTTTTTTAGGTCATACAAAGACCTATTTAGCCTGCACACATAATCCTCCTTTCACTTTTCTGCATACCCTTCAGGTTGCCTCATCAGGACTGTTTTATTTAGATCACCATTTAGGAAGGTTGTCTTCATATCCATCTATTCAAGTTCTAGGTCGAACTTTGCCACCATGGCTAATAACATTCTAATGGATTTATGCTTTACAACAGGTGAGAACATATTATTGAAGTCGACACCTTCTCTTTGAGTGAACCCCCTAGCAACCAACCCTGCCTTAAATCGCTTCGACATCACTCATTTGATTCCT